ACCTTGTTGTTGGCATGCTGCGCTGTAAGAAATAGAGTACCATACGAATATCTGGTGGCAGAAGCAACCAGATAATCAAATAGGATACATTAAAATCAGCGGATATGAGGGTAATACTTGTAAATAACATCACATGACGATTTGAACAGATCACGGCGATGACCGCTGATGTGGAAACCAAGTGGAAGCTCTCCAAAAGCGGTTTACCTGAGGCTGCCGGTAAGTACTGCAGTTTTAAACGAGTTGGCCTGCCGTATGAGAGTCAGAAGAGAATTCCCATTTCGACCACAGAGGCTTTAATGGCTGTCAGGGAGAAGAAGGCAGCTTTCAAGAGAAGAGGAAGAAGCGCTCAGGGTTGCGTGATAGAGTGACCAAAGCGAAAGCTGATTCCTGGGAGGCGTTCCATGAGGTTCTGAAGTCGAATTTTTATAGGACAAACCGCGCATTCTGGTAAACCATCCGTCACCTTAGTGATGGAGAAAAGAACCGCATAGAAGTTCCAAAGAACAAATTTGGATGCGTTCTTACACAGGAAAAGGATATACATTTGCGATAGCGAAAGTACTTTGAGAAACTTCTTGACCAGAGCAACTGCAGGAAGACTCGGATGAAGAGCAGCGGGCAATGCACAGTAGTCTTTCAGCGAATAAAGTGAAAGAAGCTGTATCAAGCTTGAAAAGTGGCAAAGATTTTGGAGTCGATGAAATCCGCCCCGAAAAGCTTCAAGCTTCAGACGAACAATGCCTGTCGTGACCAACACGCGTTTGGCAAATTGCAATGACTACGGGGAAAACGGAAGTGGGCTGGAACAGAGGGTTGCAGAATCCCAAAGCCAGAAGAAAGACCATTGGGACTGTCCCATTTGCTAACGCACAACCTTATCACGCCTCCTGAAAAAAATTATATTCACAAAGTGTTAGCAAAAATGCCGCGGAATGGTTCTCTTTGAGATCCAAGAATAGTACCGTGGCTTCAGGTGAGGCTGAATTACAGCTGATCAGATTTTGGCCTTACATCAGATTGCTTAGAAGTCGTGGGAGTTTCTTTATCCGGTTTACATGTACTTTCATAACCTGGAGAAAGTCACTAACCGGATCTCATAGAACATGCTGTAGGCATGCCCGCAAATATCTTGAATCAATGTCCAGCTGACACGAGCCGTCCAATCACTACATGTTGATGGCCGGTGCTGGGTCAGAGTGAGTGGCGTTAAGTCAAGACTTTCAATGCGGGAACTGATTTCCGATAAGACAGCACTATGTCCCCTCTCCTGTTTGTGTTGCGCATGAATCGAATGGTCACGCCAGTAAGGGCGACGAATAGAAGATGTGAGGAAACATCAGAGTAGAAGATGTGGAGAGGAGGATGTTGCCACTTGTAGACTATTTATTTTGTTGGCATCTGCAGCGTTTTGAGGAACCTTCCGTTGCCGAGTGCGACGTGGTCGGCATGCCTGTGAACGCATCTAAAACGGAGAGCCTGGTGCTTTCTCGTTATTCTGTGCGCTGCACTTTACGGCTAAACGGAGAAGCAGGCAGAGCAGGTGGATAAGCTCATGTCCGTAGGTCCATTGTTTACCCGTGAGGGTAAACAGCAGGAGGAGATCGACTGCCTCATTGAAATGGCTAGCAACGTTCTGAGTGAACTAGTTTGAACCACTGTGACTAAAGAAGAGCTGAGGCTGCAGACTCAGCTGTACGCGTTCAAGGCAATCTTCATCTTCATACCTGCCCAAAGTCATGTGCCGTTGCCACCACAGGAAAAAGTCGACTCAAGGTAAAAGCCACTACAATAGAGGTGGACGTTTTGAAACGAGTGACTGCACTCACTGGTGTCACGTGATTCAGAATTC